GAATTAAGAAAAATAATTCTACAGAATTTGATATATATCGTGCAATCTCTACACAACTATGTATGCAATCTAAAAAATATATATAGATATATATTAATTATTGTTTCTCTTTTAACTACTAAATTAGTTCTTATTTCACATACCGATAAATTTTTTTTTTGCTTTTTTTTTTTTTTTTACGAATGTTCTTCTAATCTATATTTGTTTACTAGACTTACTTGTCTGGCTTTTTGATCTCTTACTAAGGGTATGTTTTCCTGCCTAGTAAAGTTTATATATATACGTATGTATGGTGCAAGTCTAAAAATCACAATTATATCAGAACAAAATTAAAATCTTATTCTTTATTAAAAAAAAGATAATTAAGTAACACAATTTAAATCAATCTCACACCGTATTGGTTAGTGCACAAGAATTAAATTTCTTACCTCTATATTATAACTACAAATATAAGATATTTTCAAATATACTTTTGCTTTTTGCTTTTTTTTTTTTTTTTTTTCAACAAAAACCCGAGTTCAGCTTTTGTTAAAAAAAAAAAAGCAAAAAGCAAAAGCATATTTGAAAATACTTATAGTATATATATGCATATATACGTAATCTACCTCTAGGGTTTACTGGGCCTAATTGGGTATATTACAAAGGCCCGGGACCAGCCCGATATTTTTTAGGCCCGACCCGAGCTCGAAACTAGGCCCGAGCCCGGCCCGGCTCGCTAATTTCCGGGTTTAGCCCAGCCCACTCTGTACCCTAATTGAATAAAGTTTAAAATCAAAATATCAAAACCAAAAATATAAATTAAGATAAAAAAAAATAATTTTTTTTTGTGCTGCTATCTTTCTTTGTAAAAAAGGTACTTCTTATCATAATATTTTTTGGAAGCATTGGTATTCATTTGACTATAAGAACATACAGATATCTTCACTTGTCACTACAGTATTAACTAGATGATATGTTCATTATAAATAAGCAAACCAATATTACGTTTTAGGTTCTTCAAAAAAAAAAAAAAATTCTGATTTACTTGAAAGTGAAAGATTAATATCACAAACATGTAAACTTTTTAAATCAATATAGTATATACAAAAAATCATCAGTAAATAAAATAAAAAATAATTCTAGATATACTTACCTGAATGATACAAAAAGCCTTCTAAGAGGCTGATCAGAAAATAAGAGAACAAGAACAAATTCTTAACAATCTTAACAATGAAAATAAGGAAATCATAAGCTCTCTAGTATCTAATTATATGTTAGAGGATGATATGCTCTTCGCAAATAATAATGAATTTTATGGATATGAGGCACTATCTATATCTGAAGAATTGCCCGCAAGTAAAACAAAAAAGTGAAAAAAACGTGATAATCCTAGTATTGTATAGGATTATTTCGAAATTGAAACAACAGAAAAAGGCAATTTTACTGTTTGCCAAATTTGTAAGAATAATAATATTACTGTTAAATATGTACATGACTCTTTAACGGAAAATATGCTTGGCCATCTTTGGACCAAGTATTGAATTGATAAAGACCATTCCGACGAAACCAACACTAATGGCTCAATCATCAAAGCTATACATGTTATTACAAAATGGAGACAGGAAAAAATAGTACAATTATTGGTTGAGTTTATTATTAAAGATTGTTAACCTTTTCATATTTTATGAAGTAAAGCCTTTCGTCGACTCTTAAACTATATGGAAGTTGAATTTCAAATTTCTTGTAAACTAACTGTGAAAAAAATGATTGGTAAGGCCTATGATTGGAGTCACAATCAATTATTTAGTATGATAAATATGGATAGCGGATATGTTAATCTGACGACAGACTTGTGAAGCTCAAGAACAAATCAAGGATATATTGGAATCACAGTAACATGAATTGACTCAAATTTCGAATTAAAGGAAGCTTTGTTATCAATACGATTACTTCCATCACTATATACAGCTGAAGCTATCAGAGATTCTCTTAATCAAGTCATTACTGATTGGGGGCTTACTGGGCGGGTTTTTTGCATTACTACTGACAATGGCACTAATGTTAAAAAGGCAATTGGTTTAATAGATAATATTACACAATCACTTGTTCAGCTCATATACTCCAATTAAGTGTACTTAAAGGTTTTAAACCCACAGTGCGGCTAATTAAACGAGCAAAAAATTTAAATTTTTTTTTTTCTAAAAGTCCTAAACAATCTGAACAACTTATATATATATAAGAGAAATGTAGATATTCAAAGACTTACCAACCAATCAATGATGTGCCAATGAAATAGAACTCTTCATACTTGGCTTGGGTTCAGCTTAAAGAGTTACGAAAAGCGATTGAGTATTTTGCCTTAATATTGCTTTCAGAACCAGAATACTGTGATAAACTTGATGGCAAATATTTAAAATTAATTAATCTAACTAAGAATAAATGGCAACTATTAGATAATATTATTCAATTATTAAAACTATTCTATGAGGCTACTAATACAGTGTTGTCACAGGACAGCTTTAGACAATTTGTGGACAATTGTGGACAAAAAAACAAATCTAAATTACTTAAAATTTTATTAAAATAACCTATTTTTTTC